TCTATCCCTAGACCCTCCCAGCCCAACTCCTCGTCCTCACAATAAACTCATCCAACTTTAGAAGGTTTGAATGTATGACCCCTTGATGCAGACAGCCATGCTTCCTCCCAAGGTCAGCTTTGGAAGGGTGAGAGCTCAGGCCTCCTTTTTTTTTTTTTGAGTTGGTGTCTCACTCTGTCACCCAGGTTGGAGTGCAGTGTCATGCTCATGGCCACCGCAACCTTGACCTTTTGGGGTCAGGCGATCCTTCCACCTCAGTCTTCCAAGTGGCTGGAACTACAGGCATGTGCTACCACACCCATTTTTATTTATTGTAGAAATGAGGTCTCGCCTAGTTGCTCGGGTTGGTCTGGAACCCATGCACTCAGGCAATCCTCTCATCTCAGCCTCCCAGAGTGCTGGGATTTTATAGGTGTGAGCCATCGCGCCCAGCCCTAAGGTCTCCTAAGGAGAGCCAGAAGGGTTATCTGGAAGGCCAAGTCTTTGCCTCTGCATGAGCCAGGCTCAGCTGCTGGACTTGATGGAACCCGCAGAAGCATGCTGTCCTGTGGTCAGAAAAGGGAAGCATTCATGGGGGAGGCCCCTGCCTGGCCCCTGGCTCCCTCAGGCTGTGGCAGACATCAGCATGGCCACCCAGTCAGTGGGCCCTGGCTCTGAGATGATGAGGCCACTGTGGCCTCTTGCCTATTCCTGGTTTCTCACTAGAGACTCTCAGCCCCCGGCACTGGTGTGGTCTCCCTGGCCACCTTCACTTAAGGCCCCTTTCCACCACTGTCACCCCTCAACCTACCCCCACAGCTCAGTGAAATGCTGCAGCAGGGAAGTAGGAGTCACACCAAGCCTGGGTGACATCAAAGCCTGTGTCCCTTCTGCTTGGTCCTGCTGCCTCCCAGGCGTCCCCAGGTGCTGCTTCCTTGCATGTGCCACCATGACGGCTCTTTCCCAGCAATGACTCCTTCCCCACTCCTTTCTGGACGAGGCTCATTTCCCAAGGGCCTAGGAAGAAGTCCCCTGGTGGGGATGGTGATGAGACCCCAGGATTGCTCCCAAAGCCAGAGGGCCCACTACCACGGGCACAGGGAGGAGCTGTCAGCAAGGGAAGCTGGCCAGGCCCCTCTGCAGCAGCCAGCTCAGCCTAGCACCTGCTCTGCCGGAAGTGGAAGGGGACTTTGCTGGAAATCTGCCTTTAATCTTGGCTTCCTGTTTTCTGCCCTGGGGGACAGCCCAGCCCAGGCGGTCTGAGTTTCAAGCTATTTCACACCAGCTTCTCTAAACATCTCAGGGCAAAGAGATGGGGGGAGGGGAGGAAGCAGGGTGAAGGGAGGAGCGGACCTGCCCTTCCCACCCATAAAGGTGCCTGAGCTCTGACTTCTGGTGGCCAACCCAGCCTGGCACTGAGCTCACCCATATGGCTCCAGAAGTCTGAGCTCTGGTCCCATCTCCACATCCAGAAGTGGGTCTCCAGCTTCTCCTTTTCTCCATTCTCCAGAGTGTTTAGTTCCCAGTGTATTCCTACCTTGGAAAGCAACTCTTAGTTCCCAATGCTTCCTGGACATTGCATCGCTTCCCAGGCATCTCAAACTCAGTCCAAAACCAAGTCCTTGAGTGTTCCCCTAGCCTGCACCTCTCACCTGGGCTCTCCCACCGCAGCAAAAAGCACCATGATCCTCCCAGGCGCCCAGTCACACCTAAGGAGCCATGCCTGACTTCTGAGACCTCTGGTCCTCTTGGAGAGCTGTCACGGACTCTTCTTTGTCCACCCACTTCTCTTCCACCTGGTAGCTTCCATCAGGGCCATACCTACCACCCATGGTGCAGATCTCCTAACTGGACCTGTGGTCTCTTTATCATGTCACGTTCTGCTTAAAAAAAAAAAATTTCCGCCAGGCACAGTGGCTCACACCCGTAATTCCAGCACTTTGGGAGGCGGAGGCAAGAGGATTGCCTGAGCCCTGGGATTCAAGACCAGCCTGGGCTACTTGGCAAGACCTGGTCTCTACAAGAAATCAAAAAATTAGCCAGGTGTGGTGGTGCACACCTATAGTTTCAGCTACTTGGAAGTTTGAGGTGGAAGGACCGCCTGAGCCCAGTGGGCAAAGGGTGCGGTGGCTGTGAGCGTGCCACTGCACTCTGACCTGGCTAACAGTGAGACTCTGATTAAAAAAAAAATTTTTTCAATGGGCCGGGCACAATGGCTCACACTTATAATCCCAGTACTTTGGGAGGCTGAGGCAAGAGGATCATTGATAGCCAGGCATGGTGCTCACACCTGTAGTCTCAGCTACTTGGAAAGCTGAGCCCAGGAGGTCGAGATGACGGAGTGAGGCTCTGACTCAAGACCCTCAGTGGTCTCGCTCACTCCTTCATCTCTAGCACCCAGAACAATGTCTAGCACTTAGTAGGGGCTCAATAAGGATTGTCGAGTGAATAAGTGAAGAATGATGAGATTATAAATTAACTGGCTCCTCCACTAGAGGCTAGTTTGTGGAGTGATCTTTATTGATTCGTTCCTGGTTCTGTCCCCAGTGCCTGAAGTTCAGGAAGGTTAAAACACTCTGTGGAGAAGAGATGGGGCTGGGATCCAAATGCTACTTGACTCCAAAGTTCACAGCTGGGCACAGCACACCCAAGGGAAAAAATCAAATGTGTCTGGTGGTCAAGGAAGATGGGCTGGTGACAAAAACCCTTTCTTTCCTGTTCTGCCACCTGCTTCAGCCAGGGGAGGGGAGGAGACTTCAGTTTCTCCCTTCTAGAAGCTTTGCAGAACTGCTGAAGTGCCTTCCTTCAGATGAGAGGCGGCCCCCATCCGGCCCACATTATCATTCCATCTTGACCTCAGAGGAAAGAAAGGGAAACCAACCCGCTGAGCACCCTCTCCACCCCCTCACCCTTAAGCCGTTATCTTGCTGAATCTGCACCATCTCTGAGAGAAGCGTCTTACAGAAGAGGAAACTGAGCCCAGAGACCTTAAGTAACCAGCCCAAGGTCACACAGCTAACAAATGGCCCAGCCGAGATTTGACTCTGAGACATGAACCCAAAGCAAGGTTTTTGTCCATTATACCACACCTATCTCTGAGACTTACTGTCTCCTCAAAGGGCATGCCCCCAAAAGGGCTGGCTCCAGCGGGCCCACGGCTGCACTGGGTCAGAGGGACAAGATGTAGCTGGGGGCAAGGGATTCACGCTACTCCTGCTCCTGGCATTCAAAGCTCTTTATAGTTTGCAGCCGCACCATCTCCCCAGCTCTGTCTCCCACGGGGCCCTTTGTACTTATTTTGTGTTCTAAGACTTCCCAGTATGCCTCACTACCCCCCCAAAGTACCCCCTCCTCTCTGTCCACCTAAGCCTGACCCTTCCTTCAGGGTACAGTCTCTAGAAAGTCCCCACCCACACCTCCTACCTACACTGGAGTCGCTCTGGTCGCCCCCTCAGCCCCTAGGCCTGGTTCTGTCCACCTCCACCCCCCATGTCTGAGCACACTGTCTGCTCCTATGGCTCAGGGCAGGTCACCTCCCTGCTCCTCATTAACAATGGTATAATAACAGCCCGTGCTTAACTGAGGGCTTGCCACGTGCCAGCCAATGCACACTAAGCGCTTTAAACCGATTAACTCATTTCCTCCCCACAAGCCCTTAAGAAGTTGGGGCTATGATATTCCCAGTTCTACCAAATGGGGAAACTAAAGCACAGAGAGGTTAAGTCACTTGACCAAGGTCACAAAGCTACTGACAACTTCCTTATTGCCACCAGGCTGAAAATAAACTCAGAGAAAGTCCCAGGAGGTTTTTGGGCTCTCTCTTGCCCCTGTCGTCTGCAGACACCCATCTCCCACCACTCTCCCCCACCCACACTGCAAGCTGCAGCCGCCTGAGCTATTTATAGATCCCAGAAGCCACCAAGCTTTCTCGGCACTCCCTGCCTTTGTGCATGCTGTTCCCTCTGCCTGGGTCCCAACTCTCCCCATCAACCTTCCTTCCTTTACGGCCTCCTTGGACCTTGAACGACGTCACTCCACTGTTATCAGTGGATTCCTTGCGATTGCCTGTTGGCCTGTCAGTCTACCCCATCTGATTAAGACCACCTTGACAGTCATGAAGTGGTCTTAGTAGTAGACCCCGGAGCAGCAGGGCCTGTCGCGTTACCAGCGCCAGAGAGTGTTTGAATGAATGAATGAATGAATGCTTTCTGCGACGGGCGAGGCCCACTCTCCGCAAGCAGACCTGAGGAGAGGGGCCCAGACCTGGCCTCCAGTGCTTCTACAGCGGGGGAGCAGCGCCCGGGAAAGGCTGGGGAGTCGCTCCAAGGCCGGCCGGGGAGACCCTCGCGGCCTGCAGCGCGGGCAGGCAGCTGGGGGCAGGGCGTAGGCGCGGACACACCCCCCGCAGTGCCCCGGGCGCCCGGCAGGGGGCGCCGCCCCGCCGGCCCACGCCCCACCGAGCGCCGGGCAGGCCCCCTCGCGCAGGCGCGCTGTCGCGGGCGGAGGATCCGGGCCGCGCTTCCTCTCACCGGGCCTGCGAGCTTCCTCCCCGCGGAGCCCCGG